AAAAAAAAAAAAAAAAAAAAAAAAAAAAAAAAAAAAAACTTCTCTGGATCGTTCCAATTTTAAAGGATGTCCCGAGGGACAAAAAAAAGATTTTCTAAATTTCTATGTATTGCGAGGCTACTGCCTCTATGAGCCCCTTTTTGGCCCCTCTGTTACAGCCCGTCGGCTGCCCTAAGTGAAGGCAGGCTCGACGAGGCCTCCAGGGCCCTATCTTGGTCACTGCGCAACTAAGGAAATTCAGGCAGTTGCGCAGCGCCAGTTGGTTGAAGAGGACCCAGGCCCTGGGCCGCCTGTGTGAATGTATGGAAAGCAGGCCCTGGGCTGGATACGGGTACTGGGCCAAACACAGGCCAAGGCAGTAGGGAACATGCAACCACCTCAGGCCCAAGGCCTGCTCTCAATCGTGCTGGGGCTCAGGCTACCGGGGCCTACTGGAAGCTTCCTGGGACTGGACGCAGGCAGGCCACTTCGATATAGCAAAGGGCCTGCCTCCTCATTCGGCATTCGGGTGCTGGCTGGCACCTACGCTCTCACGGGCTAGCAAGGAAGGAGCACGCAGCCATAGCCGAGCTGCGCTGCTGTATGCTGGGTGAAGCGCAGGGTGGTCCTTGGGTGCTAGTGGCATCTGTGTGTTGGGGAACGAGGTTGTGAGTGTAGCGAGAGACATATCTGGTGCTGGAAGCGAGCGACATTGGTCGCCATATGCTCGTACTTCGGGAAAGCTGTTGATGTCAACTTCGGCATTGTAGTATAGGCTAGATAGGATCTGCCACATGTAGTCTGGGCACCGAGCGCCAGATAGGATATCAACTCTGGTTCTTCGTTGATGATGATGATGGGACTATTTCAGCATTGTCAATTATGAACTCTTGGTGTGTTCTTATTTCGTGAATCTCGTGATGCAATTCTGCTGTTGGTTCGAGGTCAAGACTATCTGGACTCATATCTATGATGCTGTTTGATTGCTGAAGTTCGCTATTGCTCAACTTCCTTGCAGTATTCTCTAATTCTGTAATTCAAGATTATCTTATTTTCGAAGAATTATAATAAATAAAAGGGGAGAAATAAATAACTTCATATTAGTTCATAAGTACACAAAATTAAAAATTTGCATCGTTACAACTTCACAATATCTTTTATCTTTGATTCATTGTGTTCGACAATAGATAGACGAGGTGAAACTCCGACAAAACAGTTTGTCACAGCCGCTCGTTTGTCGTCCTCCTCCTCTCTCTCTCTCTCTCTCTCTCTCTCTCTGTGCCTACGGTTTTCCGCGCGGTCCTGTTCGCCAATATATATTATATAGTAATTGAGAGCCCGCCAGGCAGGGTTACCTGACCGAACGTTCGGGGGGCCCCAGGCTGGCCCCCGAACGTTCGGGCGTTCGGGGTCCCGTTCGGGGGCCGAACACCTCCAGGTTCGGCCCCCGCCAAAACAATTTTCGGGGCCTAAAAATACGTTTTTTTTCCTGATTTGTTTTTTGTGAGTTCTCTATGATGTAACCTACACGCCTATAAATTTTGAAGCCATTCTGCTAAGCCAAAAAAACATTAAAAATCGTCAAAGATGGGGGTGTCAAAACGTGC